CTTGTTGGGGCTTCTCTCTCTCTTTCTACTTTCTGCGATCTTTCTTCGTTTTTTTAAAATTGATCAATTATGTGACAGAAGATGAAAATATGATTTGCTTTATTCGATTTTTTATTGGTGTTATACAAAGTCTACATTAATACATACACTCTATATCTGTGAGATCCCACATCGACAAATGGAGAGTGGGTGATGTGCCTTATATGTACACACCCGTATCCATATAGCACGAGGTCTTTTGGGAGCTCACTGGCTTCGGAGTCGTAGGGACTCCGAAGTTAAGCGAGTTGGGGGCCAGAGCAATCCCAGGGGTAGTGAGCTCCCAAAAACAAAACCGTGAGGGCCAGAGAGGGAGGACTCAAAGCGGACAATATCGTGCTACGGCGGAGCCGATCCGGGATGTGACAATATCTGACCGCCTTGAATAATTTCCTCGAGTTTTGACCAAGACAAAAAAAATTCTCGAATAAAAAACAACAGAAGAAAATTAAAATAAACCACCAATTTCTAACACACACACAATTGATCGAGTGGTAAGAGTACTATTAGGAAATTGCCGAGTGGTAAGAGTACTATTAGGAAATTGCCGAGTGGTAAGAGTACTATTAGGAATCCTTAAATTTAAATACAATTTGTTAATAATGTCCTCTTGCTGCCAGCTTAACAATTTGAACTTTACAACCCACTGTGGAATTTGGAAATTGCCACGAATTTGGACCGCCGCAGGTCATGCTTTACTCGCGAAGGCTTTTCCATTTGCGCTTTTTTTTATTTATTAAAGGAGAAGGAAAATATGGATCAAATCAACCCTAAAGAGTAAAGACCGTGGGCAGCTGACTGTTGAATTTATAACCTGAGGAAATTTCTTGGATTTGGATGGAGTTTCTGTGAACTAACAACCAAAAGTCATGCCAGTTTGTTTCTTTGTTGTTTTGTTACATATGAAATTTGTCTTATCTTTATGCTGCAGACACAACACAATATTCACCAACTTCGATATGAACTGCATAACAACAAAATAGAAATATTATGGAGAATCAGATCTAAAATACTTGCATCAATACAAAATTAAAGTCATATAATATATACAAAAATGATCTTTTGCCAGATTATGTGACTAATAAGATGCTTATGTTGCAAGTCCTGTGAATATTAACATTTACCAAGTTGATTTTCATTCGAACGTATATATGATTTATGTATTTATGAAACTATAAACTTCCGTCTCACAACACAAATTTCTCAAGAGAATGTTGCTATATGTAAATGTTAAATGAGCATCCCAAACCTTCTAGTGTTTGAAATTCAAGTCATCTTACGTCTTTCTGTTATGTGTTTTTTGGGATAAAAGAACAATAATATTTTATTGATAAAATAAACAAAAATAAGTACAAAGACAATGTTTATTCTGCGAATTAAATCTTAAATCCTAAACCTAAACAATAGCGTTTCGATAAAAATTGAAGCACTGTTAATGTCCTGTAGTTGGATTCAAATGACCTGTATGTATGATTGCAGGATACATAGTTGTACAAAAACACTGGTATTACACAAATAGTACAAATCTTTAATTTCCTTTTGTCAGCTTTCTGATGTAAAATTGTGATCAGAAATCTGCTACGTACACTCTAATCTATATCAAGAACAACTACAAAAAATAATAATAATAAAAATATTAACAACTTGGCCTTCAAAACACCCGATTAGGCACCCTGATCTCTCTCACAGTCCTAGAATGCACCAAACTCTCTTCCCTCCGCTTACTTCTAGGACGAAGCAACTTCGACCAAAACCTACTTTTCTTCTTCTCCTCGTTGCCTTCCTTCCCTCTCATTCTCCTCGGAAAATAATTAACCAGCGACCTACTTTTAGTGAGCACATTATTGTCACCACTCAGAAACCAAGAAATGGAGCCCTTTTGCTCATATCCCGGTCCCGGAGACGACAAAGAAGAACCCGAAGAGGATGAGTAATACGAAGATAAAGACGACGTCGTCGAAGGAGAAGTGTTAGACAAGGTTCTACGTAGTAGAAGTGGCGAGCCAGAATAAGTTGACAGCTTTTGAGCAAGCCGTTCTAGCTTTTCTCTCAAGCACAAGCTGCAAACGCCGGGCGTTTGTTGGTGCTTTGGGTGCTTCTTGCACCGGGCAATATCGGGCTTGCTTTTTTTGGATGATCTCCTCAGCTTCTCCATTTTTGGTCATGTGAGCTGCTGTTTGGGCTTGTTTGTGTCAAAATATATAGAGAGATATTATGGTTTGGTGTGTTTCCATGTTAGTTCATGCGAGCTTCTTTGGGTTTTCTTTAAAATACCTTTTTTGACGGGTTGGAGAAATTGAAAAAAGTTGGATACGGAGGACCAAGTGGAGGGCTGTGATTTAATGGGAGGGTGTGTGGGGTCCACTTGGGATTAGAAGTCGGTGGCTGTGATGCTTGTGCGGAGGATAACTGAGTGTGGAAATGGCCATTGGGGATAAAAAATAAAGAGTGGAAATTTCCAAGCATTCTCTCTGGGGGCGGCGTGGAAAAAGGATAAAGCGCGAGCGTGGACGGGATCAAAGTAGGAGACGACGACGTTTCGATGTAGGGAATGTGCGGAAGTATATTAAAAGGACGTTGGTCGTGACGTATATATGGTTTGTTTTTTTTATAAGAAAAGGAAAATTCTTGTTTACAATTTTGTTTTTCCATTACAAAATTCGTGTTTGTTACTCAAATGTCAAAACACATGCCATTGACCAAATGATAATGTTGGAAATGTATATGGCAAAAAGATTAGCAGTAATAGTATAAGTAAATAAATAAGTGCTAGTTATTTATAATTAATCTTAATGGTTGGTTCAGGTTGGTGATCCCTAAAGACTAACACATGGGTTCAAATGAGGTGGTTGTTGTATGTAATTTCACAAGAATAAAAGAAAGAAAAATCCATCTATTCTCGTGCATTTGGACATATTAAAAATGTGATCAACAAAACAATAGTGGTTAGTTGGTCTTTTGGTTGGGTTTTGTTTTCTTTTTTCTTGTGGTACAATTAAAAGGTGTAATCTGAGCAAGTTTTGTGAGCTTTTCCAACTCCATCTATGTCGTCAAATGTTCCAACTCCATCCAATCGCTTGTACTAAAAAATATTGCCTAGCTAATAGTAGCTACTAGG